TAAATGATATATGATCCCCACAGGGCTTCTCTCCTGACAGAGGATATATAGGTTACTGCCCCACTGAGAAAACACTGAGGGCTTCACCACAGAATATGCAGCGAAGCCTACGAGCTAGTTCAGGCAGATCAACTCGAGCGGTGCTGCTATACACAGATGACATGCTTATTCCATAATCACTAACCAAGCGCACCCTCTCAATCTGGCGGTCTATTTAAGCTGCAAGTTTCCCAGCTCTCCCTCTGCTTGCCAATGCTGCTGATTGCTTCAGATCACTTCGCTGCTACTCAAAGCTGTTGCTGCCTTTCTGCGCTGTAAGCATCGTAGTTCCATCCGGGCTTACCCATGAAGAGCTCTTCAACTATCCCTTGGCTCAAGAGAGCCAAGGGATAGTTAATAATCATTTATTTATATATATATATATATATATATATATATATATATATATATATATAAATAAATAAATGATTATTAACTATCCCTTGGGATAGTCCCTAAGGGATAGTTAATAATCATTTATTTATTTATATATATATATATATATATATATATATATATATATATATATATATATATATATATATATATATATATATATATATATATATCCATTGTGTTCTCATTCTAACAGGCCATGACATTAATGACATTAATCATGTGAAGATTCTGTTATATGGTTCTGAAGCAGCTGACAAAAGATTTGTGGATTGTGGAGACTTTTCTGTGATTCTTAAAAATAGTGATCCCAGATTGTCAAAAACCTCAACTTTGGCAGAGTTCAATGTTGCTTTTGGTGTCTTTAGAGACACCATATGTGAAATGTATCTGCAACGTAGAGAGGAGCTTGACACCTATTTGGCAATCATTTCAGACCTCGCTCTCTCCTATGGTGGCTGTCTCTTCTACGAGTATCATAAATCCTTTTCGGCCAAAGCCGCTCTGTACATTCAAAAATTCAATCAGAGACTAGATTGGGCTAAAGTCGACCTGTCACTAATCAGCAGACACTTTACGGGTCACAAAACTTTAGTCTGCGCTATCTGCAGTTCCTTCTCCCATTCTCCATCTTCAGAGTAAGCCCCATAGGTGTAGCCACAAGGAAATATTCTAACAAAAAACGTCTCATCATTGATCTCTCAGCTCCTCACACTTCCTCAAGAGCCGTTTTCCCTCCTATGCTTCTGTAGATAATGCTATACAGATGATTAAGTCAGCAGGGGTTGGTGCATGGTTGGGGAAAGCAGACATTGCAGATGCTCATGCCAGTCATGAAGTCATGCCACTTCACCCTAGTCAATGGCATCTTTTCGGCGTTAAATGGCGTTAAATTATACTTTCCTGTTAAACTGACATTCGGCTGCCGCAGTAGCCCTCGCGTTTTTGATACACTGTCAGAAGCGTTATGCTGGATTCTGCACAACAACTGCAAACTCCCCTACGTCTTGCATCTTTCGACTTTCCCTCATCCCCGCCAGCTCGTAGTATTTCCACGGTCAGAAGCCTCTTTCAGGAGTTAGGCGTACCACTTTCAGAAGAGAAAACTGTAGGCCAGATAATGTCCTCATGCAAGCATCTCTACCTCAAGGTAAGTTGTCTCGAATTAGAACAGCTATTCAAATCTGGTCTGCCACTTCCATTCTCTCAAAAAGAGATCTTTTATCTCTGTTAGGTCACCTTAACTTGCAATGCGATGCACATTATCCCTCATGGTCGTTCCTTCATTTCACGTTTGTAAGACTAAAACTACCTTTGGTCCATTCTCTTCCATGATGAAATTCCTGCATCATCGCTCTCCAACCCATCGGCTGTCTCCCCTGTTCATTGTGGATGGTTGCAAACCCATGATGAGATCTTGGTTCTCCTCAAAGCTGCGTGATCTCTGCCTTAGCTGTGGGCTAAACCCCGAACATTATTCCCCTCACTCCCTGAGAATCGGTGCAGCTACAACCGCAGCTCTCCATTTGCCTACATCAACCCTAAAATCCCATCGCTGGTCATCCTCTGCCTGCCAACGCTATGTCAGGCCTCACAAGAAGGACATCCTGTCTGCGCAAAAGCTCATGAGCTCCTGCTCCCATTAATGCACCAATAAATATATGTATATGTCTTATCTTTTTTTTTTTCTTTGTCTTTTTTTGTCTTTTATTTGCACATGAAAGATATATAAAACAGCAATATTAAAAAAGTTGAACAACAACAAAAAAAAACATACAAAGAAAGTAGACAGTAGATAAAGCAAATGTGCAGGAGAAACCAAAAAACCCCTAAGGGCTTGTCAAGTGGTCCTCCTAAAGATAAACATACGACAAATATTTAATTTACAGTAATGTGAAGAACAACATAAAACAATTAGAAGAGAGAGAGAAAAGCAGTATTGTGTGGTGATGTAAAGAAAATGTGGGTTATGTAATTATTTGTTTCTTAAATTAATTCATGCTTATGCAATTTCTAAGGTGAATAGGTAATGAATTCCAAAAGTGCAGACCTCTAAATCTGATTGAGAACTGAGAGAAAGTAGACTTGAAAAAAGTGGGATGGAGATTATTTGCTGACCTAGTGTTGAAATGATGAATCTGGGAATTGAACTGAAATACAGTTTGGAAACAGATAGGAAGTAACTTGTGAATGGATTGATAAACAAAAACACATATTTGAAAAGTATTTACAGCAAAAATAGGAAGAATACTCAGGGAATGAAACTGAGGTGTGGATCTAGTGAATCGCATATTGTATATTTGCATATCAGGTGTTTGCTGGGTCTAGAGTAATTTATATTCACCATGGCAAAGGTTTGATGAAGTATTTTCCCTAATTGCTTGAGTTGCTCAAGGGGAATGGCTACACAGCGGCTGGTGCCAAGGTCACACATAGCAGTTCACTAGATAGCATATTCCGCTGCGGCCAAGGTGCTTCAGGGGAATGGCCACACCATGGCGGTGCTAAGGCCCACACATAGACTGTCACTATACGTCAGGCTCCGTTCCTTGCTGTTTTGGGGGATTAATGTATTTGCGCATCACTCCCCAAATATCTCTGTAAATGCATGTGCGTTTACAGAGAAGTAACGCAAAATGCGCAGAGAAAATGCTGTGTTCTGGCCATGCTGAGGTACCCCTCGTGGGATTGCAGTCATGTGATTGGCTGAAAACTAAGGAGGCATCTGATTGGCTATACAGAAAGTTCCTTGGTGAAAAAAATGCATTTGTGAATCCAGCCGTGTCAGGGGAGTCTCAAAAATCCACATAGGCTACTGTATAAATACAGACCAGTTCACACACAAATGAAAACAAGTTCACAAATGAAAAGCGTCTTGTAAATTCAAGTTTAACAGTTTGTATATAAATGTAACAACATTCAAATACATTTTTGATGAAAATTGCAACAAAAAAATTAATATATTTATGGATTTATATTACATTTATTTAAAACAAGACACATTTGTGTGTGGATCAGAAATGTGTTTGTGAAACTTATTTTTGTTTATGGATTTATTTTACATTTATATATATGCCGAATATGGAGGACTAAAAGTGCCAAAATTAAATAAATAAATACACCATTCAATAATTACTTAAATGTGTCATTAATTAATTAATATTGGATTAAATACATATAAATGTGTCATTCATTCATTAAAATACCGATTCATTTTATGTTAAAAAAAAACAACAACAACAACATATATAATCATTTCTCTATTTAATTAATTTACATTTTCATTTCATGATTTACATTTACATTTCATGATCCTGTGTTGCAGTGCTTCATGAATTGTCAAACTGTCAAACTCGCCCATCAAAGTCAGTGGGTGGGGCTAACGCTAATCTAGTCTGATCCATTGCTTTGGTCTGAAGCAGAGTGCCTGGTTAGAGAAAATGGAGGATCTTCATGAACTTTCTAGGGAGTTGGTGAGAGACGTTTTAGACTTAGCAGAGGATGTGGAAGCAGAACCAGAAAGTTGTGTTTAATAGAGTATCTAAACCAACGTAGAGGGGAATAGCGCCACCCAGTGTATTGGAATGTGTTCAATAGCTCTGCATCAATCCATTATCTGGAATTGATTTGCCTTGACTTGATGCCCAGGGTAACCAATCAGGCATTAGGATCCGCCTACCAACTTTGATGGGCAAGTTTGACAGTTTGACAATTCATGAAGCACTGCAACACAGGATCATGAAATGTAAATGTAAATCATGAAATGTAAATGTAAATTAATTAAATAGTGAAATGATTTTATATGGGTTTTTTTTTACATAAAATTAATCGGTATTTTAATGAATTAATGACACATTTAAGTATTTAATTCCAATTTTAATTAATTAATGACACATTTAAGTAATTATTTAATGGTGTATTTATTTATTTAATTTTGGCACTTTTAGTCCTCCATAGCCGAAATCCATTTGTGTGTGCATTGAAATGTATTTGTGAGAAGAGAGTCATTTATATATAAATCACAAAATACATTTGTGAATCCTTCTCTGTGCATTAGACTGTTCTGACCCCATACCGACAGGGGGATTAAGTTATTTACGCATCACTCCCCAAATATCTCTGTAAACGTGTAAATGTGTGGGGAGTGATGAGGTCGGAGCCTCGACGCCAAAATCTATTATGTTATACTGCTTAATAAACATCTCAAACATGAGTTGGCTGACTGAAATAGAAATAGTAATAATTGTATTATTATTTTTTTTTTTTACACAATAACGTTATTGGCTTTGTCGTCCAACAACCACTAGTTGATCCCCAGCATGCTAGTACTGTCAACACAGTACAAACATGCCAGGGTTTTTGACCGTGTCCTGTAGGCTGGCTGCTTTGTATTGTGCGTTTTCTAATGGCTACACAATAGTTAGGTTTAACGTGTCACACGGATATCCTACTATTTAGTTATTTAGCAGACGCTCTTATTCAAAGCGACTTACAGTGAATTCAGATGTCATTAAGGAGCAGGTAGGGGTTAGGCATCTTGAGTCAAGGATGCCTAAAAGTTATGTTACAGACACTGGGGATCGAACCCAGAACCTTTTGGCTGGGAGTCAAACCACTAACCATTCAATGTTTTCTGTTGAAGTTGAAGTTGAATACTATTGTATTGATACTACTATTGATAACGGATGATCGATTGCAAACTGATTTCACAAGTAGATCCAACATGCAGTACGAACATACAACACGATAAATTAAACGTAGGCCTCGGGTCAGGGATTTCGGGTAGACTAACCGACTATGACGGCACTGCTTGGAGCATGAGTCATCAATTATCTGTCATAGCCCACAGGCTACAAGACAGGTCCACCACTGACCTCAGATTCATGTTGCCATGGTACTGACCCGTGAATAAAAAAACAGCAGCATCGAAAACTTAGTTCAGAAATGTTGGCATCAAAATGCCTTGTATGGCAGAACGCAGCAGACCAACCCACAGTCTGGAGGAAGCGCTTTCCTTGGGAACGTTGGCAAATGTGTCTTATTTTCCCCCTGAGGAGTCCTCCCTCTGAGAGAGATTGATAGGTCTACCTCATCAAGCCGCTACATAATTGATGGCACGACAGGTAAGAACAAATCCATTAGCAACAACAAACCATCAAATATTAACGGGCAATCGCACAAAGCTCTTTATTCCCAAGCTGTGATGTGGGGGCCCAGAGGGGACAATGCGTAACAAATACACAAACACACATAACCTACATTGTGTACAAGTACGTAGTGTATGCATATGTGTGTGCGTGCGTGTGTGTGAGGAGGGGGAGGGAGCCGGGTCATCATCAACTCGCAATAAGCGGGAGAGACATTAGGGGAGATTCAAGAGCCTGGGGATGGGTGGATGGAGGGTGAGGGTGGAGGGATGGGTGGATGGAGGGTGAGGGTGGAGGGATGGGTGGATGGAGGGTGGAGGGATGGGAGGGTTGAGGGAGGACAGAGGGCAAATCCAGGTTAGTTCATTGCAGGCTCCACATAAGGGGGGAGGGGAAAAACATGTAATTGATTGAAATGTTTCAATGTTTGAAAAAGGTTAACCTTTTTTCCGTAGAGGTTATGTTGATTCTGTTAAGAAACCTTGGTCAGCATGAAGTTGAACAGCATGACAGATGGGCCATCAAGGTGACAAGATCTTCATCATTTACGTAGATCCGCATGTCGGTGTTGGGTGTTGAAGAGGTGGGTGTTCAGAAACAGTCATGCGCACGCACATACACATACACATACTCTCTCTCTTCTTGTTCTGCCCCCTGCCTCCCATAGGATATATATTAGGATACATATAGCATCAAGAGGCCATGGTTTACAGGGATTTTGGAACAGCTAACAAAAAAAGTAAAACGGTTACTAAAATGGTTACTATATATTACCTACTAGTAAGATTTCACAAAATCAACACACGGCAACATAAAACGCAATCATTTAATGAAAACAAATCATCAGTCCTCCGCCAAGCAATATAGTTCCTCAAGAAAAAATGGTTTAAATGGTTGCCAAGCAACACTAGATTAGCACACAGGCGCAATAATACTAAAAATTAATTGTGATGCGGTCCCAGGTGTGTGTTTAGTATTTTACAACGGCTTTGAGCCAATCAGAATCAAGGACCGGCGCTATCCGTTTTACAAAATGAATTCGGTGTTTGGCAACCAATGGCTCGCTGAGAGCTGAGAGGAGGAATGTGACAGGAATGCAGCAATTACCCGGAGGGCCTGGAGGGCCTTTCTTGTGGCTCATCTGTTGAGATGAGGGAGACGCAGAGCGGTTGGCGAAAGAATAAAAACTTTTAGGACTTTTAGAAAGTTTTAAGAGACACGTCATCGGTTTGGATAAGCACGCGCTGCCCTGACGGCGGCCCGGTTAAACGTAGCCAGGCTACACTCTGTAATGTATTAAAATAAAATAGCCTTGTTTGCATTACTGCGTGTCAGGTCTTATTTCTTCGTGAATTGATGATTAGGCAGCATATGCTGTTTAATCATGGGGGCAGGATCGTCTTTCAACCTGTGGTTTTTCAACCCGTGCTACGTGTCCTACTGGTATTACGTGGTATTACTGGTGGTAAGCGAGGGTACTGCAGGTGGACACATTTTCAATAATAGGAAGAAATATCTAGATAATTGCAAATAAATATATTATAAATATTGTTCAGTAAATAAAGTATTATGGCTTGTTACTATTTCAAAAATAGTGTTGTTTTGCGCATTCCATCATATGTTTTCCATTTATGTTTTGTGTTAATTTGTGTTTGGTAAATAAACACAATGGGAGCGTCAGCAGCGCTGCTGACTTTTTCTTTCTACTGTTTGCAGTAATAATTGTTTATAAAGGGGCCGCAGCCACTGCATGTGTATTTATCTATTTGTTACCATTTTGCATATGAGGTCGTCTGCGAAAGGTCTTGATGTCAATTTAGTGGTACGCCTAAAATCAAAGGCTGGGAACCACTGGTCCAGTGGTGAGGGTGTTGACAGGGTGATGGGCCTCATTGGAGAGATACACAGCAGTGCTGTGAACAGCAACGTGAGCAGTATAGTGAAGCAGAACGCAGTCAGGTTTATGTTAGGGAAGTACGGGGAAAACATCTCTACCAGCCGACTGGAAAATGATTTGCAAATCTCAGGGTTTGTTTTTCTCTGAGGGAATAGAGCCATAATATGTGTGCTCGTTAAAAAAGCATTAAATAACAACAACAACAGTACAAATGCATCGGCGGATACTGCTTTGGTTACATATGTACTGATGTGGGAAGTCTGCGAGTTCCTTCTCTGTTCACGGCTCACTGTTGTAATGTTAAGTGGTGTTTATTCTACATTGTAGGCCTTAGTGATTACGGATGAGGGATTTGATCACATGGCAGAAGAATGAATGATAAACTATTATCATGCATATGTTATGCATATATGGATCATACCTATACACACACACACACACACAAACAATCTTACAGCCAGGCTCACATTTAGATGTACAAAACCTCTGGACAGCCTCTGGTTGAAAACCTTTGTGAGGGAGGTTGATTCAGGAATGAAGTAGTCACTATGGGGTGTCGGGTCAGGACACGGAAACGGGCTTTCTTGTTATCTATTTTAATATTGAATTACAGGAATGCTGAAGCACAGGGGTAGCAATGATATGGGATACACAGGGTGTAGGTGTGTGTGACTAGAAAAGACACAAAAGGGGGAACACGTAAATAATAACCTTAACATGGCTGCATGCTGTTTGCAATAGTGACCGTATTAATTCAAACAGGGAGAATTACCGCATAATACATGCTTAAACATGGCTATGGGTATAGGTACAACACACAAGAAATAACTAAACAATGTGGGGAAGGAAACTTCATATTTCTAGTTATACAACAACCAATTATCAGAGGGAATTATAGGCTACAAGGGGTTTGCTACAGGGCTAGCATCCCTGAGGTAAGTTAATAAGCTAGCTCTCGTTTTACACTTGTCAAACTAAAACAGAACAAATCGCTTGACTAAAGGATAGGAATAAACGCTATCGTATAACTAAATGTGCATTATAATATTATCGGAAACACTTACTTTTCCTTCACAAACACACACAACGGGGGGGAAACTGGCACACAACGGGGGAAACGCGCAACCTGCGTGATCAAAGGCTGCATACTAGTTCATTATATTAATTCATTAGCGCTACGGCCTGGCTACCGGCATGAAGCCTTTTCTACAACCTTTAGGAATCAGAATGAATCATTTGTATTTGACATACTTGCAGATGGTACCTCCCACCGCACCTGCACAAATCTAGCATTCAGGAATGTCTGGTCTATCTTTCAATCTCCCCCCTTTCATATCCACTATCTAATCATATCCCAAAAGATGTTTGTAATTTTGTCTAAATGACAAAATCGGAAAAATACAGAATTTGCCATTAAAAATGAATTGTATGTTGTTGTGCTCGTCAGGGAAAGCCTGAAATTAGGAAATTAAGATAAAAATGCAGTTTTGTGTATTGTCCTCTCTCTTTTTGTGGTTTTATTTTTATTTTTTTCCATTTGGAGCATGGGTGGCTTTTAGAATGACAACTTTTCTGCAAAGACACTTTTAAAAGGGACCTAAACTTAGTTGCCCATTGGGCGTAAAGCATAATAATAATAATAATAATAATAATAATAATGTTTATTTTATGGAGTGTTTTTCACAGACTTAAAACGCTGTACAATTAGATTAACAGCAACAATGAATACAGACAGAGACAAATTAAAGGATAAAGTAGTACACATGAGGAACAAAACAACAGCAAAAACAGAGACAGAGAGGCAGACAGAGCAAAATCAATTAAGCAGATGAGCAAAGTTGGTGTTTAATGGGTGTTTGTGGGAGAACCTCCTCCCCGGGTTCAATGTGGTTTCTATGGACACTATCTGCTTGTACGCTATCTGTTAAGACGTGTAGCAGTTAGATGCTTGGTAAATTAATATGGTATGTGTCCTCAGTTTCTGCTATGTCCACTTGTTGTTTTCACCTTGTTATAGTAACTTTTGGTTTCACAAAATATGTCCTAGTTATATAATAGCATTATACATCAGTTAGTTCTGACCGAGTCATTTGATTGGACAAGAGGCGTTCCATGCTGATATTCAGAATAACATCACTGGGACTTTTAAATACACATGTATCCCTCCACTTTACAGCTGTTAGTAATAACCAATACAAAGTAGCCGGCCTGCGGTAACAGGAAATGTCGACGTGCTGTTTGGCAACGCCAAACTATTAAATGATTAAATAAACAAAGAAATCATAATCTGTTGTCGCTTATTACTGTCAACTAATAAATGGCGATTTTGAATGATTTCCTGGAGCGTGTGCTGGTGAGGAGCCGCGCTGCAGCGTTCTGGGCGTGTTGTGGTCTGCGGTGGGATTTCAGCAGGGACATCGCAGGACTCAATCCTTGAGGTGACGAGAGCATGGATGGAGGGGGTTTTTAAGCATCAGCAGAAGAGAGGGAGGGTCTGAGACGGGCCACGTTGCCGAGGTGGTAGCACGCAGTCTTGGTAACGTTTTTTACATGTGCCTCGAAAAAGACAGAGAGACAGAGAGAGACAGAGACA